TAACACTCTCAAGCCTTCTCAACCCTTTCGAAAACCCTTCGGCTGGCAGTAGTACTTGTAGCAGTAGCAGCAGCAGCAGCAGCAACAGCAGCAGCAGCAGCAGCAGCAGCCGCAGCAGTAGCAGTAGCAGTAGCAGTAGCAGTAGTAGTAGTAGTAGTAGTAGTAGTAGTAGTAGCAGTAGTAGTAGTAGTAGTAGTAGTAGTAGTAGTAGTAACCTCGAAGTCAAATCAGAAGCCTCCTAGCCTTAGAGCTCACTGCTGAACCTCAAGTACACCCTAAAACCTAAACCCTAAACCCTACACCCTAACCCACAAGCCACATTTCCAAAGAATACGAGGGCCATCCGTCCTTGGCTGGCCGCCAGCCACCGCTGCAGCGGGTGCCTGGGCACCTTTCGTATCGGCTTTGCTTGACGGTTTAGGGTTTAGGTGTACGGATCAGGGTTTAGGGTTGAGGGTTTAGGGTCTTGGATCTTGATCCGGGCCGGTCTAGGTAGCCATGCACTTGCTGACGACATCCTCACCCAGTAAGCCCAATGTCCGTTAACTCAGAAATCGACTTGAAATATAGGAAGAGGCATCATTGAGTTTAAGGTATGCAGATTTCATTGTTAGCGGGGTATCGAGCTCCTTGGGCAAGATGCACCGATGATGCATGCCTCGCCCGTCTTATTCTTTAATGTCGTCGTCGAAGTATTGGGTGTAATATAGGTGCCTTAATAATTAGAATTGGGTTTTGGGGCCCGTTATACTATACTTATAAAGAAGGAACCCCTTGAAATAGTGTAGGTAATCATTTAGACCCCTACACTAGGAGATCTCAGGTTTTGAGTTTCAGTTTCGCTTGAAGGGAGCGCTTCCTCACAAACCCTCGCCAGCAAACCACGCAAAGACCGTGTTTAGGGTATAGGGTTGAGGGTTTAGGGGTTAGGGGTTTAGGGGTTTATGGGTTTAGGGGTTTAGGGTTTTGCGTTTAGGGCTTAGGGGTTTAGGGTGTAGCTCGCCCGGTGCATGTGAGAGCTCGAAGGAGGGCAGCATATCCGAGGCCTTCCGGGCTAGCAAGATGTGGGTAGTTCTCCAAGTTAGGGTCCCTTTCAGGATCCTTTTTTATAAGGGTGCCGTAGTAGTTTGGGGACCTAAAGGGACCCTGATTCGGAGAACTACCCAAGCTGTGTCAGACTTTCACGCTCTCCACGGCACTTGAGGTTTGTTCCCATTGAACCCTCCAAGCCTACGTATGGTAAAGGTCCTTGACGAACGAGCAACCACCACAATCAGGGGTTCAGAGTTTAGGGTTTTAGGGTTTAGGGGAGAAGTTCCAGGTCTTTGCGAGCAGCATCTGCCGGCTGTCTCGATGGCAACGTTGCGAGAAGCGAGCCCGAGACGGTCATTGACCAAGATTACGTCACTGGTGGCCCCGTCGGTGGCACTATAAAGGCCTTAAGACTGGTTTGGGAGGTTCGTAGATCAGAGTATAGCTAGGAATGATATGATTCGCAAATATTCAGGGTCCTAAACCCTAAACCCTAAACCCTAAACTCTAAACCCTAAACACTTGCATGCCTTGCAGGTACTGCCTATCCCGGCCTCCACACCCAGACGGGGCTACTTAAACTAGAAGAAGACATTCCAGGCAGTACGCATTCCCAACTGTCCGGTCCCCTATCTTTCACAGCACATACCAAACCTCAAATTCCAGGTCCCCATTCGACCAGAAGCTCGAGCAAGGATTTCGAGTCTATTGGAATGTGGTTTTGGGATACAATATGCATCAATATCTTACAGTCATGACAAGGAACCCTAAGGAATAATGCTACTAACCAACAAGCCCGCTACATAGGGGCGTAGGCTTCAGGGATTAGGAGTATCCTGAGGCTCGGAAATTAGGTTGGGATGCTCTAGGACGCCGGCTGCGTGGGCTTTGCCGTCGCGGCTGCGCTACCTGCGCATCGAGGACAACCCCCCTTTTGAAGGGTCATACTGAAACTCCCTCTATATAATCCATGATAGCCCTAACATAGAGTCCTTAAAGAAAGGGTTGCGTTCTTGGTCGCAGGATTCGTGTAAGGTGTCTCTCTCTACCTCGTGACTGGACGGTTTGTTGTATTTTTGTGAGTTCATGCCTTGAGGTTCCCGGTGTTTCATGTTAGCGTAGTCCATGCGTGTAGGGTTCAGGGTTTCGGGTTTGAGGGTTTAGGGTTTGGGTTTTTTGGGGTTTAGGGTTTCGGGGCAAACCTTGCCTCTGGGCAAAAGCCGGCACGAGTCGTGATAGGGTGTAGACTCCCTATCGGAAGAAAGTCTCCGGACAGTCCGGTTCTGCCACGCTCAGGGCGCCCGACATTCTGAACAGTGGCTCATAACTCTTTATGAAGCTTTGTGGCTCCAAAATTTGCCGTCCAAGGATAACATTGGGGGTCTGAATCATTAGACCAGGGGTTGGGGGCTACATTACCCATGCAATCATCTTAGGCCTCCACTTACGGTAAAGTAAGAGCCCGTCGAAAACATGCAGCACAGTGTCACACAAGAGTACTAACCGCAAACCGTCACAAACCCGAAACCAATTGGCCTAAACCCTAAACCCTAAACCCTAGACCCCTAAACCCTAAACCCTAAACCCTACCTCAAACCCTATTGGCTTCTGGACTTAACACCCTTCTCCCTGCCTGGCTGGGTGCAGGGCTTCGTCGTTGATTGCCCATCGCAGAATTCCCTGGCCTCAGAGCTCGTTCGCGGGTTGGGCTTAGGGTTTAGGGTTTAGGGCTTAGGATTTAGGGTTTAGGGTTTAGGGTTTAGGGTTTAGGTTAGCGCCCTAAGGGTTCAGGGTTTATAGGTCAGTCGGTTTAGTTTCGATTTGCGGCTTAAGGAAGATGACTGGAACGATATGGTAGAATACACATTAGCAAGGCTACGCTGTCACATATATGATTATGCGGCCTAGGGCTTGCGCAGTTCGGAGTCTAGGATGTAGGATGTAGGTTCAGTAGTCTTGGACTAAGGTCTATGGAAAACCCCAAAAAAGTTGGAAACCCGACTAAGGACAAATAGTGCTGGGATTCCCTATACATTGGTCTTAAGGATTGAAGCTACTGGGTTTCCAACTTTGGGGCTTCTACTATAGAGCATGGCTTCAGTAGGCTTGGACCTGAGATTGAGGGTTTGGAGTGAATCCCTAAGAGCTTAGGGTGTAAAAGATTCCAAGCTTGAAGGATTTCCTTCCTTCAAGAACCTCTTGAACATCCTACTCCTACTACCCAAAGCCGAATAATACAAAGGGAGGTCGGAAATGGTGGAATCATACCCTCTGCAGTGAGACAGAAAACAGCCCAGAAGCCGTTCTAATCATGAAGACCTCATCGTCGTAGGGTCCTGTCATCAACAGCCCTACATTCACGGTGCACCCTCACACGGCCATGTCTTAGAGGTCTGGGATTTAGGGTGCCTCTTATGCCAGTGCAGCGAAAGAGCCAGGCAGCAATGCTCGCAGGGCCAGCGTTGTCGGCGCACATCCTTAAGCTGCGATGCAAAGGTCTTGAATCACCCCGGCAAAAAAAAGTTCATGAAACCCTAAACCCTAAACCTTAAACCGCCCCTTGAAACCCTGGACCTTGAACTTGTCTTTCACTCTGGGGAGGGGCTATAGGACTTTGCGGTATTGAGGAGGCCCATCGTCCCTTCGTCATGTCCAGTCTGGGTTTAGGGGTTTAGGGTTTAGGGTTTAGGGTTTAGGGTGGTCAGCCTGGGTGTGGGTGGCCTGTGGCTTCGGGCTTTTGGGCTTTGAGGGTACGTGTGTTCCGACTGCGCACAAGGCCGCAAACCCCAAATGACTAGGTATATCAACGAAAGGTAGCCAAAAACTGGTAAATTCGAAATCTGTTCGGGCCCTCTAAATACACCCTGAACCCTATGCACCCTAAACCTGGTGTACCTGATAGTCCGTAAATACCTGACCTTTACTCTACCGCCAAACCTATCCAAATTGATCAGGCCCCTATATTGTAGAACTCTTCTAGTATCTTTACCCATAGGCCCCATAGTAGTTCCTTTGTTGTGGCTTGTAATTAGGATCCTACTAGGTAATCCCTAAAAGGAACTACTCTGGGGCCTATGGGTATAGCCTTAGACGACCCTTCATGTAAAGGAACCCGAAGGGTCTGAGAGGAATCCTTTGAATTTGAAAGATGCGACCCCCCCGGCAAAGTGCGGGGCTCTATAATGTCGGGGCCTGGATAATAAAAACAGGACTTTGGGGGTTCCTTATTATAGTTATAGTATAATACACCCCAAACCCTATTCGAATTATTAAGGCCCCTATATTACCTCATACTGCAAAACCAGCATGGCATTAAGGGAACATGGGCCTTCTCTTTCAGGGTTCACTTGGTCCTTAACCGGAAGCCTCCCTACATCCCAGATCCCTAGGCTAAAATCCTGCAGCCTAAAACCCAAAACCCTCAACCCCCAAGTCCCAAACTCTAACCCCCAAAACCCTAAACCCTAAATCCTAAACCCAACACCCAAAACCCTAAACCTAAACCCCAAACCCCTAAACCCAAGCTGCAAACACCCTAAACCCTAAAACCCTGAACCCTAAAACCCAAAACCCTCAGGCCCCAAGTCCCAAGCTAGTAAAACCCCCCTTTAGGGTTTAGGGTTTAGGGTTTAGGGTTTAGGGTTTAGCCTAAACTCTGGAGCTGATCCGGGCCAAAGGGGGCAGGGGCCATGTCGAGAAGCCCCGGGTCTCGACCAAAATCTCCGGGAATTGATTTCAAGAGGGTTCGGTTTATGGTTTAAGACTATAAAACTAAAAGGACTACCAAATAATCTCCGGGAATTGATTACAAGAGGGTTCTGGAGTCGAGAGGCGTACAAGACACTATCAAACTATAAGGGTTTAGGGTTTATAGGGTTTAAGGACGACCAAGGGGATATAGGACTTACAACTTTTCATACAAATTTGTGTCACACATTGATTGAAGGTGCCTTCGCAGTTTCTGGGCGACAAGCAGGAAGCCAAAAGCCCAACCTCCACCCCTGAGATCTTCAACCGCACCCCGACCCCCGACCCCAACCCCCCAAGCCCACCACTGACTTCCTTTTAGGGTTTAGGGTTTAGGGTTTATAGGGTTTAGGGTTTAGGGCTTAGGGTCCAAACCCTGAAGCCCCGAAACCCCTGAACCCCAAACTTCCTGAAACCTCCGAACCACTTTGCCGCTGCGATGCTGCCGCTGCGACGGCTGAAGGCCAGCCCTTCCAGAAACGCAGTCGCCGATTTGGGACACATGGGTATCTCCGAAAATGAGGGTACCTTATCTTGGGGTCCTTATAATAAGGATCCTACTATTTAGGGTCCTATACTAGGGTCCCTTATTTTCGGAAACCCCCACATGCATCGGCTAGCTTCATGTCTTCGGACCGAAGGTTTGGGGCGTAGGGCCTTGGTGTGCAAGGCTTTAGGGCGCTATAGGTTAGGGTTTAGGGTTTAGGGTTTAGGGTTTAGGGTTTAGGGTTTAGGGTTTAGGACTCATGGATCTAGGGTTGCCTGATTAGGGTTTTGGACAAGGGCTCATTCATGGTTTACCCTTCTAAAGCCTACTTTCCTGGTTTCAATAACTTATAACGACCCTACAACAAATTGGCTATGCCACGCTAAGGTAGCTACTAAGAATTACTGGGATGCGGAGATGCTCCTAAAAGTGTGCGTCTATTTCTGAGAATCATACATGAACCGAAAGCGCATCAATGATACATGGAGCAATCGCATACTCATGTACACACCGCGCTAAACTATAATGAGAAAATGAGCTCACAAGATGCCCCAACAATGGCAAACAACATGCACCAACACCGTAGTCACCTTACAAAGTGCATCAAGCGCCGTGAATGCTCCACGCGAGCGGTTTCTTTGTCGATCTCGAATCCTTCGCTTACATGCCTAAAAAAAAAACAGTAAACTTTTACACTGAAGCCCTTAACCCTCGGGCTTTGATGTCACAACGGAGGAGCCCACCACCCAGCCCCAAACCGTTTTTTGGTCTGACATTGTCCACCTCACACTCCTGGCACTTAGCGGAGGCCTGTGGCCTGGGACAACCATCACCCTCCTCAACCACTCACGACCCTTCACTCGATCTTCTCACCCTAGACCCTAAACCCTAAACCGTGGCATCACCTTCCCCTGGCTGTTCCTGCCGGACTGCCCTGAACACAAATAAGAAAACGTCCCAGACACCTGACAAAACAATCCCAACTCGCAAACGCTAGACCTCTACACCCTTGAGTCCCAACTTAAACGAATTGACCCCTTAACTTATACACTAAACCTTTTTAATCTCATAAGTACAACAAGAAAACCCCAAAACACAACTAAAATCTTGACACCCCCCTTGGAACACAACAGCACTGAGCTCTGCGGCTGCGGGTACGGCGACTGCCGCGAAGGGGGCGCCGATGGCTGCTGTGACCTTACCAGAACGTCCAAAGGGACTCCATGGAGCTTTCTAGGCTTTTAGGGTCTGGGGGTTTGGGGTTTAGCGTTTGGGGGCTTGAATCTGGGACCCTCCATGGAAACCATCATACCCACCATCAGGGACCATGCGTACATGATAATTATCGTGGTGGGCCGGGGTCGTGGTACCTAATCCCAAACACTGAAACTCCAAAGCCCTGAGCTTTATGGTGCCAGAACACCCATGATCCTACATAGTAGCCTATAAAACCCTAAACCCCTAAACCCGAAACCCCTAAACCCTAAACCCCGAACCCCAAACCCTAAACCCCAAACCCAAACCATGTAAAGCCTATAAGCCGCACAAGCCCCCTACAAGCCCCTGCCAGGCCCTGGAAGCACAATAAACCCAAGAATCCCTGAAAGCCCTGCGACCCTAAACCCTATCAACCCTAAGCTAAACCCTATTATACCCCAAAACCCAAAACCCAAAACCGCCTAAACCTGCTACAAGCCCTGAACCCTCAACTCAAGAAGGGTTTAAGCTGTTTACGCTAAACTCTCCACCGCAGGATCAGCCGAGCGGCAGAGACTGCTGCCGAGCCGGCCCCGCCCCCCTCATGCCCATCTCTGCTGCCTCAGCGACTCAGGTTTCATGATTTGGGGTTTCGGATGACTCCTGTTACAGGCTTAAAGTTTTCGATTCCTTGTCGGATTCCTTTAAGCCGCTATAGGGCTTAAGGTTCATTTAAGGCTTAGGATGTTCGATTCCTTTTCGGATCCCTTCAAGCCTTTATAGGGCTTAGGAGCTTCGGGTTGTCGATTCCTTTTAGGATTCCTTCAAGCCTTTAATGGGGCTCAGGATTCTTGAAGGCTTAGGGTGTTGGATCCTTTTAAGGCTTGAGGACTCCATGGAGGGATCTTGCAGGAATTCGGATGTAGGAGTCCTTTACGGTTCAGGGGTTTAGGGTTTACGGTTTAAGGGTTTAGTGGTTCAGGGTTTAGGCTTTAGGGTTTAGGGGTTTGAGGGTTTAGGAGGGTTTAGGGTTTAGGGTTTAGGGTTACGGATCGCTTAGGGTTTTGGATTTAGGATTCCCTTCAAAAGTCGTGTAGGGTCTCAGGTCTTGAGTTTTAGGCTTCCTTTACGGGTTCTTCTAGGGCTTAGGATTCCTTAGGGTGCTCTTAGCGTTCGGGGGGTGATCTGGCTCACCGACTTGCCATCGGCTTACGCAGCAAACCAACAATGAGTATTGAGCTCTCTCCTGAAACCCTAAGCCCTAAACCCTCAAGCCCCAAAATCATAATAAGAGATGTTGAGGATTTCAGGGATCGAGATCTGAAATCTTTGCTCGGCATATGAAGTGAGCTAAGGATTTGGGATTTCGAGCTAGCCGCTTAGCCAGGATTCTCTTCAAACCCTAACCCTTGAACTATAAAGTCCTGTAACTTGTGCCTAGAACCCCAGCTACAACACAACACGTTATTTTCAGATTCATTAAACGCAAAATTCCCGCTGTCAAGGTCTATAAATGTTGATGCGAACATTTCTGGCTCTTGAGGCGTTGCCGCAGGGGGGCGCCATCAACACGAACATCATTCAGTCTGATGAAATATCTGGAAAAAGGAGCCGAAAGCAGTTCTGAGAGATTCAACCGTATCACAGGGCCCTTCCGGTCAGGGTACAATCGGTCTAATTCTGCCGAAGCTGGACAAGAGGTCCATCTGCTTCGCTGCGGTGGTGATGCCTGCTGAGCCGCAGAAGATCCCTGGGGCGAAGCAGGTATGGAAACATGCGCCTAGCGGTGCTTTCTGTACGACGTCAGCGTCCGTCTGCGTCTTTCAGTTGCTCTTTCGCTGTGGGCACTGGTTCTAGGAGCGCGTGCCCAGACATTTGGAGCAGATGTGTAGCCCTCTGTCGCATTCTGCTTTGCCGTTCTTCCTCCTGGGCAGCCTCCCCCTAAACCCTAAACCCTAAACCCTAAACCCTAAACCGTGGGCAGCCTCCCGGGAGGTTGTGTCCGAAAAGTATTGGCTTGGCTGGCGACGGGCAGCAACATCTTGAGCATGCGAGGACCTTCTGACTGCGCGGAAGTTCACGTCTAACCACTAAAGCCTCAAAATCCAATTCCCTATAAGCCCGCCAGACCCCTGAATCAATTCGGATACATAACTAACTACCCATGGCCTTTTAGTCAAGCGCTGCACTCAGGCCAGGGCATGCACCGGCAAAGTGGCAGACCTCGCGACGCCGGAACCGAGGAAGATGCGCCAAGGAACCGGCTTTTAATAGGGCTAGGGAGTCCCTGAGCTTTTCTTGGGGGTTTTAGCGTTTTTTTTTGTTAAGGACCTTTTCTCACCGCAGCAAGAAGTCACAACGACTAGGTCGATCCCTGTGGTCCCTGTGGGGTTTAGCGTTTAGGGTTCAGGGATGAGCTTTTGTTGGGGGTTCATATTATGGAAGTATAAGGATTTCGGGGGACACCGCAATTGGCGGTACCATATCGGTAAGGCGCTGACTATTTCGCGCCTTTGTGACACTCTATTTTGGGGGCTTTGTAATCTAACCCAAAACCCTAAACCCTATAAGCCCTAAACCGTCAAAGTTTGGGAACTTTCGGTTCAGGGTCGCTTAGGGCTCATTATGGGGTTCAGTGCTGCGCAGCTTTGGTTCTAAGTTCGATGTCAACTGGATTTATGTGGGCTTATGGGTTCAAACTTCGTGGTACGTTTTAATAGGATCTTTGTAATCGGAAAGCTCCAACTATCTGGGCCCCAGGGCATTTTCTGTCTGAATCATCCAGTACCCACAGCTTAGTTACGTAATCCTGACATGTCTTTAGTCCCTCAGTTAGGGCCTGTTTGGAATTCTCTAGGCGCCTGGATGCTCCGGACTTCTCAACCCAAATGTTGATGTAGGGGGCAGGGTGAGTAGGGCTTAGGGTTTTATCTCAGGGTGTAGGATTCCAGAATCGAAAGCTCGAGGGTTTGACGCCTTTAGGCATGGTACCCTCCTACCTCTACTGTCTACAGCAGCTCAGGGTCTATAGGGACTAGGTTTAGGCTTTGCGGCCCACTTGGGTTCGAAACAGCTGGAAAGTGTTTCGAAGAGGTTTCGAAGGTTCTGGACTTTTGGGGGCTAGCGAGGTGGGGGGGGGGGGTTCATACCGGCTGGATGTACTATTGAAGCCGTGACCCGACTCCTTAGCAAGGTCTTCGCCTTCTTGGCTCATTTCAAGACTGGCCCAAAACCTAGTTCCCTAACCCTCACCAAACCTCCAAACGCCCGACACTACTGCCCTATACTGACCGCTTGAATCCTGAACACATGGGGGTTTCCGAAAATAGGGGACCCTGCTCTAGTACCCTAAATAGTAGGACTTATATTATAAGGACCCCAAAATAGGGTACCCCTAATTTTCGAAAACTCCCACATCTGGGGCCTGAGCCCGATGACCCAAAACCGAACCCTGCAATCGCGTCTCCCATGCATCCGCGCACCTTCTGTAAATCTGTTGCACAACTGTAGACTAGCTTTGGGTTTGAGGGCACCTTTAGGGCTCGCCTTTTGGGGGTTCAGGATTTAGGGTTTAGGGTTGGGGTTTAGGCTTTAGGGGTTTAGGGTTTAGGGTTTAGGGTTGGCGTTCAAGCCCCCCAGAACTTCACACACCTCCCGTCTCAGGCCCGGACAAGTTGGTAGGGATGGTGGGGCCTCGACAGGAGCAGTCGCGCAGCTTGCTTTCTCAATGTAACCCCAAAACCTGCAGACCCTGAAACTCCACCATAGACCATGATAAGTTGAGAACCTTTAGTGCTCCTACAAGTCCTATGTAAGGGTTTATAGTAAGCCCAAGGAGGCGATTCTGATTTTGCCGATGGAACCCTGGAAGCATGAGGATTTGGAGCGGCTAGGTCTAGCATGGCGACTCGCATATTGCTTAACTGGGTTGTAGTTTTAGGGCCCTGAAAAGTTTTTATGAATAGGTACCTCTATAGAAACCATAAGGGAAATTTTGAGGTTTCCCAAATTGCCACATAGTTATTTTTTATTTGCCGCTGCACTCTGCATGTTCATCCTCTTCTCCCCTGCCTGTGCCATCCATGGGCAAGGCCGTTGGAAGCTGCGGCTGTGTGCGCCTTGGAAGGCTAAAGGGCGCAACTTCGTTTAGAGATGGCCAAGTGCGCCTTGAGGTTGGGTGCTTCAACTACGGTGGTTGGACGGAGTCGCACATGACCCACATCAAGAAAAGCATGGCATCTTAACTAGCTCACTCCCTCCAATGTCAATGTTGACGAAACATGTGCGTGATGCAGGTTTTCGTCCACTCACACACAGGCCTTCTGAAAGCTTTGTGACATCAATGTTTAGGTTCCGGATTTTTGAAGCGATGGGTCATGCAGAATTCGTCCATCAGTAGTTCTACTACCACCACCACCACCACCACCACCACGACTACGACTACGACTGCGAACACGACTACGACTACTTCGGGGACGACAACTACTTACTTCTCGTTGCACCTGCATCACCAGTCCGACAAAAGTTGGTGGGATTCTCATCGTAAAGTGTGTAGGACCTTACTGCGTTAAAGAGATGTGTGTTGGAATCTCCCTATAACGTCATGGCTTTACCTGCCGGTGTTTTGTTGTCAGCAGGGCTCCCGAAAGTTGTGCTTAAGTTACTCATAACAAGAATAGGACGACGACGACGACGACGACGACGACGACGACGACTGCGACCACGACGACTTCGACCACGACCACGACTACTACTCCCACTACTAGTACTACCACGACGACGACGACGACGACGACTACTACTACCACTACTACTACTACTACTACTACTACTACTACCACCACGACGACGACTACTACAGCTACTACTCTTGCTGCTGCTGCTGCTGCTGCTGCTGCTGCTGCTGCTGCTGCTGCTGCTGCTGCTGCTGCTGCTGCTGCTGCTGCTGCTGCTGCTACTACTTTTGCATTACTACTACTTCTTCTCCTAAACCTACTCCTACTCCTACTGCTCCTGCTGCTCCGGCTGCTCCTGCTCCTGCTATGATTGCTATTATTGCTACTGCTACTGCTAGCTACTCCACCCTTCCCTACTGACCCTACCTACTGCTACTAGTCTTGGCAAGGCCCGTTGGCTGAGAATGTCATGCCTGACTACAAGCAAGTACTGACTGGGGGGGGGGGCAGACTCATCAGCGCGCAGCAACACTGTAGGGATTTATGGGCCTTTGTAAGGGCTCTATAAGGGTCTATGAGGGTCTCGGAATTCGGGGCTCCCTTAGCTGGACTGAGCTTGAGACAGATCCTCGATCTTGCCCGCTTGTGGCGTTCCCGGATTCTGGGGCGACAGTGTCCTGACACAGAGCGATCGACTGTCAAGGCAAGGGCTTCAGACTTTTAGGGGCTCGTTGTTCAAATGTTAACGATGTAGATTCAATGAAACGTATAGATGCAAATCCCAGCCATTAGCACTAAACACTTTTGGGCTGTGGTTAAAAAATACACTGGCAAATACTAACGGTTCCTTCTTGACCTCATCTCCGGCCTCGGCACTAAACCCCTAAACCCTAAACCCTAAACCCTTAACCCTTGCAAGCTTCAGATTGGTGCAGGCAACGGTATCGGCTGCTGGGGTTCGCGCCCCAGACTCGAAGGCGTCCGAAAGGACTTGATTCAGCTCCCTAAACCCTAAACCCTAGCCCCTAAACCCCTAAACCCTAAACCCTAAACCCTAAACAGGCTTCTGGCCCTTGTCCAAGTGCCTACACTCCTTCCCTCTACTACCAGGTTTGGGGCTTTAGGGCTGCACCGTTTCGGACTTGAAACGCTCTTTGTTCAGTGCAGCGGGCCCCCTAAAGCCGGCTGCAGGGACTCCCCGAATCTGGGACAAGAGCCCGGAAGGGCTAAGGGATTCGGGTTTTTGGGTGGTTCGGATCCAGGATGGTGTAAGATAGGGGCCTTAACAATTAGAATACGGCTTTGGGGTATATTATACTATCATTACAATAAGGAACCCCCAAAATAGTACTGGCAACTATTTAGGCCCCTACAGTACGGCTTCTGTCACCGGATCTAAAATCACCTGGCACTCGTGCTTCCGACTTCATCGCCGGGAATCCCCAAAACCTTAAAACTCTGTGGACGAGCACCCCTTACGGAATCCTTGAATGAACCCTACTTTACTTATTCAAGCCCCTCTAGCTATCCGCCCATGCATCCATCCATCCATCTATCCATCCATCCATCCATCTATCTAGCTAGCTATGTCTATCTACATAACCAGCATACATACCTACCTACCTACCTAC